TCGCCGTGGAAACTGGCAGGCTCGTTTGTTGCGGCGTCGTACTACGGTGATTTTCAGCCACCGAGTCTCCCAAAGTGCTTTGCTTGAAAATGTCGCGACATCGTTGGCGCTCATCATGATCATACTCTTTACCTCGCCGCTCGCGCCGCTCATGCTAAGAGCTTGAGGCGCAGGCGAGGAAGAGAACGCGAGAAGATTTAGTCTAGAGAGGACAGTGCATGCCCCGTTCCGTCTTTCGCTTTACCTTGTAGAGTGCTGACGATTACGGCATGGCCACTTCGGCCATGGTCACATGTCTCTCAATCACTATAACCTTTTGCGTTGTTTATGTTGCTTTCCGAAACAAAAACCTTCATGCACATCCATCGCTACAGCATTCGCAAAGCATTGTTTCTTACCATCTATAGTTCTGCTATGCTATACGCCGTGCATCATTTCTTCCTAACATGAATATTGTTAAACAGTCAAAGAAAATTCTTTTGACTGAACCAAATTGGAAAGATGGGATTCAATCGATTAATTCCGCCGGTTCTTTCGTTTGGAGCTACAGACCTTGGTTTTAGACACAGGAGCGTTTGGGATACCGTAGGCGATTTGCTACGCAAGACGAAACAAATTGAATTGTAAGGTTATGTAAGTGAAACTTATTCTTCAATGACAGTACGCTTTTTCGTTAAATAAGCTAACTAGTTATTTAGAAAACAATCTATTGCTAAATATTTCAAGATATATAAACAAAATTATTTATATAACAAGGCACCACCCATTTCATGGCCGATACCTCATAGTGCCTTGCACCAGTTTAATAAGAACCAACCAACCAACTGACGTACCAACTTGATCCTATCGAGTGCGTATACGCTGCTGCGTGGCTACATGTGTTCATGGTAAAATTCTACGTAACTCAGTTCGTCCCTTCACAGATGGACCCATCAACTCGACAAACCACTGTTTGAATTCACATCTCCTTCCTCATAACTACGAATGGTAGACGACAAGGTAGAAAATATTAAGGTTCGTTAAAACGTTCTGTCAGCCTTGATCTGAAATAAGTTTTTTTTCATGCGTTTCTTTTCTCACCAGCTCTATAGCAGTAAGAACATCACACCAGATCATCGCAAATGCAGAGGGTGTCTCAGACCAATCCAAGCACGCTTCGGCAGAATGCGAGGAAACGGGAACTAAACGCTTTTTATGTGCCACAGGTGTGTTCCACTTATTTCGCTGCCGAATAAAGAAGGGATAAGTCGAGAAACTCTGAAACTTCGTTCCCACGGGACACGGCTTGTACCTCTTGGTACAATCGACTACGCAGCAGTTCAATATTCAGATAAACTACGTGCTCGTGAAAGTTGGGAGAGTGTTTCGTTCTGCTGGGGCTCTCAACGTTTGTCTTCTCTGACGGCCACGCGGCGGCGTGCTAGTCTCAGTGCACGATGTCTATATCATCTGCGTACATCAATGCTGGTAATGACTGCTCAATTTGTTTTCCTTGCTTGGCAAAAGAGAGGCTGAAGCCGAGTCGACTCCCCTCTATTTGTTTTCTAGTTGCTGTAGATGCAGCATAAATAACAAAGGTGACAGGGTACCTGTCAAAGCCCGCATTGTATCTCTCTAAGTTCAGATACCTGTTCTTCTCATTTTATGACTACCTTGTTACTTTTATAGATATTCTTTAGAAGATTATTTATTGCATATTCCACATCTAGTGTGTCCAGTATTCCCCCAATTCTTTTTGAATCACACTATCGCAAGCTCCCTTGATATCTAGAAATGCCAGTTACAGGGGCCTGTGTTCTTTTTCCACTATTTTAATACACTGAATCAATGAAAACAGGTTGTCCTCCAATTTCCTTTGTTTACGACACCCATTTTGTAGCTCTCCCAACAACGCCTCACTCTCCACTTATGTCTGTAGTCTTTTCTTTACTATTTGCATCACCAGCTTGTAAACTACTGATGTGAGTGTTATAGGACGGTAGTTGTTTATTTCGGCTTTGTCCCGCTTTCTTATATAGGTCATGCTCATCCTGCTTAGTTTTTACCCAATGGTGGCTTCACCATTCATAATTACTTTTCTCGCTGCCTCTCTTACCGTGTGCTTGGAGTTTGGTCTTAGTTTCTTTATTAGCATAATTGGAATGTCGTCAGAGCCTGTTGATGTGCTATTAGAAACCCTTTACTCTGCCCTTTCCAACTCTCGTCTTCCCAGTGAAGCCACTGCGCTAATTGGTCCATTCTGATCTGGTGCTGTTCATGCAGCGCTTTCTTGGTGTTTTAATTTTTCTGTCATAACTGTTTTTCATATAATCCATTTCCTCATCCCCTTATAGTCTGACCCCTTGAACTGTAGTTATAAACCTCTGTCCCAGGCTTCTCTTAATACTCATAGAATTGAGATGATTCCAAAACTTTGAAGCTGCCTTTCTATTCTTTTTGTTCACTAGTGCCATTCATTGGGCCCCTTTTCTTCTAATCTTTTTTCTGCTCAGATTGGACCCTTCCCTTCTGCAGCTCAAAAGTTTATCCCGTTTTTTTTAGACATCATCTTCCGGTTCACCCCTTTGTTTAGCATACCGGTGTTTCCTGGAGGTTTCCTGGCGTCTTACTAAGGTTCTCTTAACTTCCTCATTCCACCAGCTTTTGGGTTTGCGTCTCGATTTCTCGGTTTATTTGACTGGTACCTTAGCAAGCCCTACCTCAATACACCGAAATAGACATTTGTGCGTTCATTCTGTTTTAGTATTCTCGGTGATTATTTTCTTAATCTCTTTAGATGCTATTTCTATTTGCTTTTCTAAATAGTTATTACCGCATGGTTGCTCATAATGTCTCCTTTCCGATTTCATTTTTCTTTTAAAACTCAGGTTGATACGCTTATGATCACTACCTAAGCTTTTGGACCATATTGATCTATTTTCATCATTCTTGCCCGATCATACCTTCTATGCGACAAAATTGTGTAATCTCTCGTCGACTGCAGCATACCCACCTCCCATGTCATCTGCCTTTCACATTTCTCGTGGCTGTTACAAATGAATAATCAATCCCGTTCACGCATATTAATTATCATTCTGCCTGTTACAGCGGGATGTACCTGGTGGTACAGCGGGATGTACCTGGTGCCACTTTTCACGTATGCCCGCTTCACTGTTGATCAGTAATACATGGTATTTGCATTCGGAGATCTAAGCTGTACGCTCCGTTCGTCCTTACTCATTGTGTCAACTGAGAACACTCGCGAGCTTTTGTACCAAGTGTTGTAGACATCGAGGCGCGTCTTTAGAAGTTCTGTTGTTCATGCGAAAGGGCAATAAACACACTTTGTTATCAAAGTAAGTGTTTACGTGTTGCTCCACCACGGTGGTCTAGTGGCTAAGGTACTCATCTGCTGACCCGCAGGTTGCGGGATCGAATAATGGCTGCGGTGGGTCATTTCCAATGGGGGCGGAAATGTTGTAGGCCCATGTGCTCAGATTTGGGTGCGCGTTAAAGAACCACATGTGGTCGAAATATCCGGATCCCTCCAATACGGCGTCTCTAATGATCATACGGCAGTTTTGGGACGTCAAACCCTACAAATTGATCAATCAAGTGTGTATGTGTTCTACGGTGTGCGCTCGCTGCGCGTTGGTTGTGTGCGCACTGGAAATACACACTTTATGTGCACGATCGCGTACACATTACAGTGGTGCCTTCTTAGCGACGTGAAGTACGTCAAGAACTAGGCTGGCGTTGCGCGGAATAGCTAGGAAGCAAGCTCTCAAAATCGTGCATTGCCACACTGACAATGTGTACGAGCAAAGAACTGCTACTTGGTTCGTAGGTCGGCAAATCTGGCTAAGAGAAAAAAAGGCCTTACGGTGAGCAGAACACGTAAGTCACTGCCGGGTGATTTCGAATGCGATGATACAGGCGTTGAATAAATTGATTGCGCCACGTCCCGATGCTTTCTGTGCTATTGCGCAAAAACACTTCACGAAGTATTTTCGCGCGCCACGATCGGACCTGCCAGGCACGAACCGTCTGAAAAAGGGGTGCTCGCAATATTTTACTGCATGCAAACCATTCAATACGCGTTCAGTTTACATTGGGACTATAAATCTACGCAGAATAGAACCGGCGCTGAGAGCACGCCGCGAAGCGTCTGCTGCTTAGTTTGTCCCATAACGGTTTGTTTGCCCCATAAATTTACGTCACTTCCGCCACACTTCTTGCAGTGAATAGGGATACGATAGGGCCTCTCCTCAGTTTTTCCTTCCTATATGATGGCCGGCGTGCCCCATTTTACGGCTCCTGGCAGTTGCTTTCCGAAACTTGGTTGAACTAGAGGCCTAGTTTAAGTTTTATAGCGTTCCTGGAGGTAAACGATGTCCGGTAATCGAATAATGACATCAAGCTGCATGCGAAAGGTAAAATTTAGGGTAAGCAGCGTTCCTAGAGGTTGCTATTTTGAAAATAGGCATCTACATTGCCACTTATAGACAATTACTCATAAACAAGAAAAGTAGGCATAGGTAGGCACTATGAAAACACTACGAAAACCCTTCTAAACCTCTAGCTTGTCCTCATATATCAATATGGCACCATTGGAACTCAAAGGACAAAATTTACATTTGCCTAAAATGCGGTCGCCACTGAAAACACACGGCGATCCACTAGGCGTAAGGCTTCACTTCTGACTCTTTCCTCCGGCTTTTGATAGTTCATGTTCACCAGGGCGAACCAAAACTTAAGTGGTTGAAATAACTAGTTTTTTGTGAGTCAGTCCCTGTTGCGAATAAATTACAGTAGCGCGAAAAAATCGAGCACAGAGACGAGGAAGTACCATATGATGACACATCGGCCTCCGGGGTTTCTTCACTATCTTTGCCCTCGCTATCTTTCGTGCAGCGCCAAGCTGTTCGCCGGATGTTACCGGGAAATTGCTAAGTCCGGGAAACGATAGCACTGTTTAAATAGGATGTTTGCTGCCACATGGTCTCTTTGAAAGCGTGAGACATGGAGGCTGCAGTGTAGCACGTATATTTTATCCCCATCTTGCTCTTTTGCTGTGCGTTAACAGGTGAGATTCAATGCTGTTCGTATACAGGCCTGGGCATGGATGAAATATTTACTTTACTGCTGAGCGGAAATTTTGTTTTCAGCGTGATCTAGCAGCTTACTAACGATCCCCACAACATTTCACGTTCGTTTAAGTTTGCATTTGCAAAATCGCTTTTACGAAGGTTCTTAGTATCAAATAGCACGTGCCATTGAGCGATTTGAGTACAAGACGATTCCAGGGCCCAATGGCATTAGCTTCAAACTTCTGAAATTAACCGCTCAAAAGTCATCGTACCTATTGAAACTAATATTTCAGCAGTCACTGAACACAGGTTGCGTCCCAGATGACTGGAAGTCAGCATTAGTGGTACCTATATTCAAATCTGGGTTAAAATCATGTGCTAATACTTACCGGCCAATCTCTCTTATATTCCGTGAAAAATACTCGAGCATATTTTGTTTACGCACATCGTATCTCACCTCCATAAAAATAACTTGCTAATAGACAACCAACATGGCTTCCGCAATAACCGCTCATGCGAAACTCAGCTGTTCGAATTGGTAACTGATCTTAATGATTCTCTGAATAACTCCCGCTACACTGACACAATCTTTATAGATTTTGCTAAAGCATTTGACCACGTGCAACACAAACGGTTGATGACTAAAATCTGTAATCTACAGCTAGACGACAAAACAACCCAGTTGATAAGCGGTTTTCTTACTAACAGGGTGCAGTCAGTTAAGCTGTACAACGTTATCTCTACTCCCAGACCCGTCAAATCCGGCGCACCCCAGGGATCCGTACTAAGCCCTCTGTTGTTTCTTGTCTATAATAATGATATCGGATCTAGTATTAACTCTTCACTGCGCCTCTTTGCAGACGATTGCGTAATTATATGAAAATCACCGAACCAAAGACGTAAACATCTTGCAGTCCGACTTGACAAAATTATCACAATGGTGCCATTTATGGCAAACGGAAATAAGTGTGAACAAAACCAAACACGTACGCTTTTCATCCGTTGCACGTCCTTCGCCCAATAAGTATGTCAGAAACATTTGGTAATTCAGACAGTTCCATCTATTAAATATCTAGGTATTTTATTCCACTTTGATATAACCTGGACTAGCCGCGTAGAATACATTACCGCGAAAGCACTACGGAAACTTGGTCTTCTTAAGCGCCGCCTGAAACCTGCAAACAAAGACACCAAACTTCACGCATACAATACTGTTTTTTCGGCCAACTTTAGAATATAGTCGCGGTACAGCGCGAACCAAAGGCAGATAAATGTTGACACAGCGACTCTCAGCAGCCGAACAGCAAGATCACCTTCTTTATCTTCGATCAGCCAGAGCCCCTCTACCTAGTGTCCGCCAAATCCCCTTATCGTCGCTTTTGTCCACCAGTACACACGCGTCATTTGCCCCCCTCTTAATGAGCATCGCCCCGATGCTAAACCAGTAGTGCAGTTTTTTTTGTTTTTTTAAGAAGTGTCTTGCGCAGTTACTACTTTTCATAAGGCTTCATGCGCACAACGTGAACTAGTTCAGGATGGTGCTGGCGAAGCCTCGTACACACGAACTGTGAGGGACGACCTCGTAGGTAACATCACTCAGTCGTCGCAGTACTAGGTATGGCCCAAAGTATCTCCTTAGGAGCTTTTCAGAGAGTCCTCGTTTCCGTATGGGCGTCCAAACCCATACTCTGTCGCCGGTCTGGTAAACAACTGTTCTGAGGCGAGAATTGTAGCGGCTCGCGTCGTCCTCTTGTTGTTGCTGGATTCGCAATCGTGCTAGTTGCCTTGCTTCTTCCGCTCGTTCTGTAAACATCTCGGCGTCTGGTTCGATGTCGTCGCATTCGTGCGCTAGCATCGCATCTAACATGGTTTGTGCTTCCCTTCCGTCAATTAGGCTGAACGGGGTCATCCGGGTTGTTTCTTGCTTGGCCATGTTGTATGCAAACGTGATATATGGCAAGATTTTGTCCCAATTTTTGTGTTCGACGTTTACGTACATTGAAAGCATGTCTTCAATTATTTTGTTCAGACGCTCTGTAAGCCCGTTCGTTTGCGGGTGGCCGGCTGCCGGAGGCCAGCTGGTTTAGTCGGCGGTGGCTACCGTCGCTGGCAGTCGAGGCAAGTACGAACATGGTGTTTTATGGCTATGGTCAGTCTTGGCCTGACGTAGCGCTGCCGTACTCTGGCCAACGCTCTCGTGTAACCTAAGTGGCCTGAAGTCACCTCGTTGTGGCATGCTTCGAGTACTTCGGAGCGCAGGGCTGCTGGGATGACTAGCAAATACGCAGATCCTTTCGAAGAGAAGTTTCTTTTGTATAGTACCCCACCCCGTAAGCAAAATGATGACAGCGTTCTTACGAAAACAGTTGGTGCCTTCTCAGATCTTCCATCCAGGTAATTAATTAGGGCAGGTAACTCTGGGTCGTCACGTTGTTGCTCCGCAATAGCGGTCGAGTCAAGCACGCCGAGAAATGCTGTTTTCTCCTCATCAGATAAAGTTGCCGATTCAATGGGTCAGCGGAATAGACAGTCAGCGTCCATGTGGCGGTTCCCTGACTTCTGTACGACCTTCATGTCATACTCTTGCAGTCTGAGACTCCAACGCGCTAATCTCCCGGTAGGATCCTTAAGATTTGTCAACCAACGCAGTGAATGGTGGTCGCGGATGACTTTGAAAGGGTGGCCGTATAAATACGGGCGAAATTTTGTGACCGCCCATACCACGGCGAGGCATTCCTGCTCAGTTGTGAGGTAAATAGTCTTAGCACGTGTTAGTGTTCGGCTTGCATGGGCGATTACTCTTTCTGTGCCCTCTTGAAGCTGAACAAGCACAGCTCCCAAATCAACATTGCTGGCATCAGTGTGTAGCATCGTTGGGGCTTTCTCATCAAAGTGGGCGAGCACTGGAGGCGTCTGTAGTCGCTGGCGGAGGTTCTTCAAAGCATCTTCCTCTTCGTTGCTCTATTGAAAGGCAACATCTTCTTTCGTGAGGTGGGTTAACGGTGATGCGATGCGTGCGAAGTCCGTGATGAATTGCCTATAATACGCACATATTCCGAGGAATCTCGGACAGCCTTCTTATCAGTCGGCACCAGAAAGTGTGCAACAGCTGTGATGTTTTCGGGATCAGGACGAACGCCTGCGGGACTGACAACGTGGCCAAGAAATTGCAGCTCTTCATAACAAAAGTGGCACTTTTCAGGCTTCAACGTCAAGCCTGCGGATCGTATGGCTTGTAAAACTGTCTCAAGTCTTTTACGGTGCTGGTCAAATGTTGCGGAGAAAACTACGACATCATCAAGGTAGACCAAGCAGGTTTTCCACTTCAACCCAGAAAGTACGGTATCCATGAGTCTTTGAAAGGTAGCAGGCGCTGAGCATAAACCAAAGGGCAAGACTTTAAATTCATATAAGCCATCTGGTGTCACAGAAGCAGTCTTCTCGTGGTTTCTTGGGTCTACCTCCATTTGCCAATACCCACTCCTTAAGTCCATCGATGAAAAGTAACGAGCATATTGAAGTCTGTCGAGAGAGTCATCTATACGAGGAAGTGAATACACATCTCTCTTTGTCACTTGATTGAGTTTTTGGTAATCTACACAGAAGCGCAGGCTGTCGTCTTTTTTTTTAATGAGGACCACAGGTGACGCCCAGGGGCTTTTTGAGGGCTGAACGACTTCATCTTCTAGCATTTTGTCGACTTGCTCTTGTATCACTTCGCGTTCCTTTGGAGCCACGCGATAGGGGTTTTTCGTGAATTGGTCTCACCATGTCCTCGGTATTTATCCGATGCTTGGTTAGAGTCGTGCGGCCAACTCTTGATGTTGTCGAGAGGCAGTCTTTGAATTCGGCTAGTAGCCCAAGACGCCTTTTTCGCTCGTTCTTAGGCAAAGTAGTGCTAACGTCGAGAACTGGTGTTGAGTCAAGTTTTGGCGCCCCATCGACTACTGCCAAGCAGCCTTCTGCATATGTGATATCGAAGTAGCGACGGCCATGCCTTTTGGAAGGTGCCGGCGCTCATCGCTAAAATTTGCCAATAGCAAGTCCGTGCGTTCAGCGGCGACACTGACGATACCTCTTGCGACGGAAATGCCGTGTGTGAGGGGGAGCGAGCTTATTCGGTCTGCTACTCCTTCGCCGTCAAACTCGGCAGCAACTGCCACAGAAACAAGCGCACATGACCGAGGAGGGAGAACCACATCGTCAACAGTTAGACGCAATTGGTTTGGTCGTGCCTGTGTACAATCAGGTGCCCCCGAACTGTTGCGGAACGTAATCAAACTGTATGGGATATTGATGACGGCGCCGTACTCTCGTAAGAAGTCCATACAATAATTAGGTCCTTGCAGCATGCGGCAAAAACTAGGAACGACGCAACGAAGAAAGAACCTCCGATGCTACTTCTCGCTGTGCATCTTCCAGAGGGCATCAATAACTGACCACCTGCCGCCCTTATTTCAGGGCCTGTCCACGGCGTCTTCGCTTTCTTGAGGCGGATGGCGAGGTCCTGACTGATAATAGAAAAGTTGGAACCGATGTCGACTAAGGCTGTTACTTCCTGGCCGTCAAGAAAAGCACTAAGGTCGGCGGTCACAATGTCGTCGCTCTCACGTCTTGTCGGATTTACAGCGTCGTGTAATGGACGCTTTTCATCATCATCTTCATGGCCTGCAACCTTACCAGAGGTCACCACCCTCAGTTTCACCAGCGTGGGGGAATCGTGTGATAAATGAAGCGATGGTCGGTAGAAGCCGAGAAAGAAGAAGTGAGACGAATAAACATGGCGTATGAGCCAGGCCACCTCTCCCATTCATCATAGCGTCACATATATACATATAAATGAGGCGTTTTAGAGTGGCACTCTTTTATAAAACAAGAGAGCGGTCACGACAAGTCAAGTGGTAATGGCGGAACCTGTGTACTCATCCAACCAAACGTCGTCCTCTTCACAGACTGAGTGATACCCCCTGCCTATCCTTGTAGCACTCATCTTCTT